CTATGTCCACTTGATTGCAGTGGTGGGTGGCCACACAGGCTGGGTGGTGCTGACTCAGGACCATGGAGGCTGAGAGAGAGAACGACACTGGGGTGTTGAACTCCTGACTGCAGGACCTGCCTTCTGCGGGAGAGCAGATGCAATTTCCAGGGACTTAAAGGGATGCTCTGTCCCTTCGGAAAACACCTGTCTCAAACCAGGGTGTTGGGGCCAACAGGCCCACCTAGGACAGTAATGCTATGGTGTTTCAAGAACCCAGGCTCATCCCCGCCTCAGCCTCAACATGGGAAAATTGCTGCTGGACACAAAAGGAACAGTCTGTAAAACAACGTGTCATTGTGAACAAAGCAAATACAACTAAAGTCAGGCATAGTGATGCATACCTGTAACACAGGAAGCTGAGGCAGGAGGATTGCCAGGAGTTCAAGACCAACACATTGAGTTGAAGGTAGCTCTGGGCTATAAATTGAGACCCTGTCCCAACAAAAGAGCAGAGATGGGAATGTAGCTCACTTAGTAAAGTGCTTGCCTAGGGTACAAAAATCCTGGGTTTGATCTGTGGTATCAACATAAGCAGGAATGGGTGGCACTTGCTGTGTACAGAAAGGAGGATCAGAAGTTCAAAGTCATCCTTGGATTCATAGCAAGTTCAAGGCCACCCTGGGACTTGAAAGATTGTGTCCTAAAAATAATTTAAAAATATAGAGCTGGAGAGAGCCAGTGACTGAGAGCGTTGCCACCCTCGCAGAAGACCTGAGCTCTCATATCAGGCTCACAAGCACCTGCACCTCCAACTTCAGAGACGCTGACACACTCTTCTGGCCTCTGAGAATGCCCACACGCATGTGACATACACTCAGACAGACACACTCAAACATAAAATAAATCTTTTAATAATAATAAATTGGGGCTGGGGGAATGGCTCTGTGGTTAAGGGCACTGGCTGCTCTTCCAGAGGAGTCTATTCAGCTCCCAGGACCCAGTGTGGCTCACAATCACCTATAATTCCAGTTCCAGAGAATTTCGCATGAGGTACATGCAGAAAAATACTCATGCACATGAAATGAAATTTAAAATATAAAAAATAAAGTCATCATTGGGCTGGAGAGATGGCTCAGTGGTTAAAAGCATTGCCTGCTCTTCCAAAGGTCCTGAGTTCAATTCCCAGCAACCACATGGTGGCTCACAACCATCTGTAAAGAGGTCTGGCACCCTCTTCTGGCCTTCAGGCATACAGACAGAATATTGTATACATAATAAATAAATAAATTAATTAATTAAAAATTAAAAATAAAAAAAATAAAATAAAATCATTGTAAGTAAGGTGTGGTGGCTCACACTGCATTTATCCTCAGCACTTGGGAAGTAGAAGCAGGCAGATGTTTGTGAGTTCAAGTCTAGCAAGGTCTATGTAGTGAGTTCCAGGTCAGCCAAGACTACACAGATTCTGTCTCCAACCAACCAAGCAACCAATCAACCCCCAACCAACCAACAAATCAACCAACCAGCCAACCAACCAACCAATCAGCCAAGCAACCAACTAACCAAGCAACCAATCAACCAGCCAACCAACCAGCCAACCAACCAAGCAACCAACCAGCCAAGCAACCAACCAGCCAAGCAACCAACCAGTCAAGCAAACAACCAACCAGCCAAACAAGCAACCAACCAGCAACCAACCAACCAACCAGCCAGCCAAGCAACCAACCAACTAGGCAAAAATACAAACCAAACAAACAAAATAACTATTTTAAAATAAATAACAAGTCAATGGGGTATTCTGTTTGAGCTTGGCCCACTGAATCTAAGTCTAGGTTAATTGGTATCATGCTGTCGTTTTCTGACTTTGGCAATGATATAGAAGGCTGGCACTTGAAGAAGCTGGGTAGAAACAGGAGCTCTGCATCTCCTTTGTAATTTTCTGTTAAACCAAATGATTTCAAAATAAAATATTATGCGGGCACGCACACACGCACGCACTCACGTATGCACGCACTCACTCATGTATGCGCGCACAGACGTATGTCCCTCCCCAGCTCTTAGCCAGTCCCTGACAAAGTTCGGAGTTTGGCTTAACATTTTGACTCTGGCCTTGGAAGACAGTTTCTTCCCTCGTAAGGACCTATGAGGTTCTTCATGGAGAGTACGGGAAAGCCGAAGGCAGATGGGCTGCTCAAGGCATAGTGCCAGGAGCCAGTAGGGTTAGACTGCCCTGCCACAACAGAGGCGCCATCTGCCCAGAGCCAGACCGAATTTGGAAGGGTGGTAGCCCAGCCCGCAAGACTGAAGAGGGGGCTGGTTGGAAGCAGCGGGAAGTTGGGAGGGGGGATGAGAAAGGACTCACGTTGCTTGACTTGTCCAGGGTTGGGTTGGGGTTTGCGGTCCAGGAACCCGCAGCGCTCACCCTCACCACAGGTGATCACGGTCTGCTTGCAGGAGCTGCTGGGGCCTCCACTGCAGTCATAGCACCGTGTGCGGTGTCCTGGCAGGAAAGAAGAGGTACGTGACCCGGTCCTTAGAGGAGCCCTGGCAGAGGGAAGGACAGGCCTGTGCCAGGGGCTTACGAGCTTCTTCCTTACCCAAGGCAATGCCTAGCAGGGTGCAGAGTAGGATCCCGACCAACTGGGGGTTCATCATGTCTGCTTACGCCAGTAGCGCCTCTCCCTCCCGCCCACCCCCCCTCAGGCTCTACTCTGCCCGCCTTATATCCCCCTTGCCTTGAACTTTATAGGGCAATAAAAAGCGAGGAAAGAGTCTCCCCCAGCAGACACCAGGGCCCCAATGGGGACAGGGAGGGGCCCCACCGGTGACTCTGAGCAGCGTCTTCTGAAGCCCCAAAGGCTTCCTTTCTCAGCAGCAGATCCAGGGAAGACCCTCCCCCCCCAAAGGGGGGTCCCTAAGGCCCTTTCAAACCCCGCCCAAGGGTCTTCCCCTTTTAATGCCGTACCTGAGGGGTTGGTTTTGTTCATCCACGTTCCAGATGGGTTGCAGAAGTAGGTTATAAAAACCCAGCCATCTTTGATTATAACCAGCGCTAAATGGATTCTCAAAAATGTAAAACAATGCCGTTCTCTCTGTGCGGTCGGAGGCTAATTATTGTTTTTCACAAAACTATGCTTCCTAACATATAATACGCTTGTTTTTATTTGTTAAATGAATCAAACTATACCTGACTATTTATGTAGCTAGCTGATTGCTGTTGTTTTGGGGACAGGACTGGCTTTGAGCTTCTGGTCCTCCTGCCTCAGCGTCTCAAGTGCTGGGATCACAGGCGTGAATCACTATGCCTGGCTCCAATACCAATTTTAAATGCCATATTTATTTTATTGTCTTAAGTTATATATATTTACTGAGCATGTGTGTGTGTGTGTGTGCATGCACACACATTTGCTTGTGGAGGCAGATTTTTATCCATAACCCAGGCTAGCCTGAAGCTCAGCATGTAGTCCAGGCTAACCTTCAACTTGAGGCAACCCTCTTGTCTCAAATGTGCTGGGATCACTGGCATGTGCTGTCACTTCTGGCTTGTTTTAATTCTTTTTTATTATTTTTTTTTTTTAAGATTTACTTTATGTGAGTGAATGCTTTGCCTACATGTAGATATGAGCCTCGCGTGCATGCCTGGTGCCAGTGGAGGCCAGAAGAGGGCATCCAATCCCTAGACCTGGAGCTACAGTTGGCTGTGAGCCACCATTTGGTGCTGGGACTAGAACCTGGGTCCTCTGCGAGAGCAGCAATGCTCTAAACTGTTGAGCCTTCTTTATTTCCTTAACAAAAATGTATTCAGGGCTGGAGAGATCACTCAGTGGATATCGGCTATCTTTCAGCTCAGCTTCTTTTCCCCGTGCCCACAAGGAACAGCAGTAACCACAGCTTCAGGGGCCCCAGTGCCCTCTCTGGCCTCTGGGCTCCCGCCCTTGCCTGCATATATGCATACACAGACACATACACGCATACATTGGCCTGCATATATGCATACACAGACACATATACATTGGCCTGCATATATGCATACACAGACACATACACACATACATTGGCCTGCATATATGCATACCCAGACACATACACACATACATTGGTCTGCATATATCCATACACAGACACATACATTGGCCTGCATATATGCATACACAGACACATACACACATAAATTGTTAAACATAGCCAGATGTGGTAGTGCAGGCCCAGAGACAGATGGACCTGTGTGAGTTTAAGGCCAATCTGGTTTACAAATCAAGTTTCAGACCACTCAAAAAAACAAAAATAAAAAAGTTAATTAACTAAATTTATTATTTGTGTGTCCCACTGAGCGCAGGTTTGTGTGCTTGGTCTTCTCTCTCCACCTTCATGTGGTTCCAGGGCTCGCCCTGTGCCCTGGGCTCACACAGCAAACACTCCTGACTCCTGAACCAGCTCGCCAGCCCACTGTAGTTTCTGCTATGGTAAATATTGGTGGAATTCATGTGAGGGAAAGATCTCTGGGGCCTTCGGTCCTTTCCAGGGTATAAAGAGGTGCGGAGATGTCTACCACCCTCTTCCTCACCGCAGCCCTGGGGTGAAGTGTTCTTTTGTTGGTACAGGAATTGGAATCCAGGGCTGCCCAGTGGTATAAGCCCTCCAAGGCTGCGTGTACTACAACCCCTGTCCCCACCCAGTCTCCCTACGGCTCCATTCTCCCAGACTGGAAACCTAACCCATCTTCTTTTTCTCAGAGGAAGGACGTATATCCTTCTAGCCCAGCTCCTGATTAATTCTTTTCTGCAAGGTAGTAAAGTCAGGAGGACTAATTACGGGGTAGCAATGTCGAAGCTTGGTGGGGGGGTGAATCAAAGGGATGTGAGGTGGGGCAGGGCCTCTCGCAGCTGGGCTTTGTGGGTGGGGTGGGGTGTGGGAATGGGTGGGTGGGCTTTGTTGATACCACACTCAAACAGGACTCTAACATCTAGGGCAGGAGAGGGCTCAGAATGTGACCTTGGGAGGCCTACAAGCTCTGAGGGGATAGACAGAAAAACAAAGAGAACTGAGAACAGCTTGAGCTGGAGAGAGGCGACAGACACAACTCTAGGCAGGCAGACAGCGAGGCTGAGTTAGCAAACACTGAGAAAACAGGAGACCCTGGAGGCGAGCAGGAGCAGGAGTGAGAGACCTGGGGGTAGGAAGGGAGAGTTGCTGCATCTGCACCCCGGCTCTCTCACTAGGTATATTTGTTTCCAGATTCCTCCCTGTCTTTGGCCAGGTGTGTTCTGACAGGGGCGCAGATCATATTCTCCCAGACTGCTGAGCCAGTCCTGCCATGGGTCCCTCGGGCGCCTTCCTCGGCATCCTGTTCTTCTCTGGGGCACTGGGTAAGGGTGGACTGGGGAATCCTCAAGGGCAGAGGGCTGGGACAGGCGCTTGTGGATGGAGGATGGAGAGGGAGCTGACAGAGGTGAAGAGAAGTAGGGAGTTACTAGGACACTGGAAGGCGGAGGCCAGAGGAGCTGGACTCCCAGGCCAGCATGGGCTGTGTCAAACTGTCTCAAAAGACCAGGGGGAGGGGGAGCATTTGAGAATAACTATCTCTTCCGGCTACACCTTTGAATCTTTGACCCGTCTCTATTCCACCCTTTTTCTCTCACTTAACTTTCGCCTTTCCCCTTCCTGCTCATGGGTCAGGCTTTTTGCATCACTCTGTGGGCTTGTTTCTCTTGGCCTCCGTCCCTGTCTGTCTGTCCTGACTACTGTGACCCTCTTTCTTCCGTCTGGCTCTTTGCCTGCCCTTGTCTCCCTTTGCTACTTTATATCCCTGTCTTCTTTCATTTTATGTCTCTCCTCTCCCTCTTCTGTGTCTCCCCGAAGCTGACCTCTGCTGACCCAACAGGTCTCACCACTTCCCCAGCCAGAGGACGACTCCAGTGTTACACCTGCAGCTTTGCCAAGCCCTGCGACCCGGTCCTCACAGAGTGCCAGGAGGACGAGGTGTGTGGTATCAGTGTTGGCACCTCAGGTAGGGCTCTGGTCCAGTGGCCCTTCTGGGGTGGCTCCTCGCCTCTGTCTCCCTCCCCCCAGCCTCAGCGGGCCTCCTTTGTCCCACAGATCAGGGGGATGAGGTCATCCAGCGGAAAGGCTGCCTGCCTAGGACCCAGTGCCCTCTGCTGGGCCGCGCCACATACTGGTCACAGCCCTATGCTCTCCGCCACAAGTGCTGTGAGCAGGACCTGTGCAACACGGCAGCCTCGCAGCGACTCCCAAGCCATCCCCACGCCACCCTCCTGCTCCTTGGTGCCATCTTTGCCTGGGCTGCACATATCTTCATCTAGCCTGTGAGCCGTGGCTGTCAACCCAGCACTCCGACGTCATCGTGGACCTGGGGACCCCTGCACAGATGTTTCTGAGGCACACTTGCTCAAGAGTGTGGCTTTGTATAAAGAACCCAACACCTCTACAGACCCCTCCTAAGACCCGATTTCTACAGCTGGAGTTCCCATCCCAGCGTGCATGTGTCCGGAGCCTCGCCCCATAAGAAACCCCTGCTGTCTTTTCTCTGGGTGTCCCGGGTCAGCCACCCTCAAGGAGCTCTGGGTCCCAGGCAAAGGGACAGAAGTGGCACTGGGACTGGTGAGGGGTGGAGTTCTGTTAGGAAAGATGTAACTTGGTACCTGAGGGTCTCAAGAATGGAAGGCTACCTTGGGGAACTATGAAGAGTATATTTAATAAAAGGGCTATTGATTGGGTAAAGGTGTGGCTCAATGATAGAGTGTCTGCCTACCATACATGAGGACCTGGGTTCAATCCCCTGCACCACCAAGATAGATAGATAGATAGATAGATAGATGGATGGATGGATGGATGGATAGATAGATAGATAGATAGATAGATAGATAGATAGATCCCTGCACCACCAAGATAGATAGATAGATAGATAGATAGATAGATAGATAGATAGATAGATAGATAGATAGAGGCATAAATAATATGTAAGACTAGTAATAGGGCTGCCTGTGGGTCTGCTAATGCTCAATCGTGCGTAGTGGGGCTGCTGATGAAACACATGAAGGCTCCCTTTAAGAAGGAACTCTATAGGGCAGAGTAGCTGTCTCCTGGAATACCAGCACATGTGTAGGCATAAGAACCTGGTTTTGGATGCCAGCACCCACTTAAAAAGCTGCTCTTAGGGCTGGAGAAATCACTCGGTTAAGAGCACAGGCTGCTCTTACAGGGGACCTGGGGTTCAATTCCCATCACCAGCATGGTGGTTCACTACCATCTGCAATCCCAGTCCCAGGAAATCCCACCCTCCTTTCTGGCCTCCTCAGGCAGTGCACACCATGTGGTGCACAGACATACATGCAGGCGAAACACCAGTGCACATAACACTTTTAAAAATTAAAATAAAACGCCGGGTATAGCCACACATGAGTGCTTGTAACCCCAGTGCCAACGAGGGCCAGAGAGAGAGGCTCTGTGGGGCTCTCTGGCCATCAGCCTAGCTCCGAGTTTAGTGAGAGTAAAGATGGAGAGGAGAGACAGGACATCTGAGGTCTTCCACGCATGCACCGGTGTGTTTGCACGGGCGCCCATATGTCTTCAACACTCTCACACACAAGAACGAGCTGTAGCTGCCTTGTGGGTTGGACTGGCACATTGGAACCTGAATGGTGCCCCGCACCCAGTTTCCATCTGTGTGGCTGTTCCTGCCAACGTCTGAGCCTAAACCGCTGCAGCGTGCGGGCAGCAGGTGAGAAGTCCAGAAAGCCAAGCTTGAGACCAGAGTCGAAAGGGCGCCTGGGAAGGATGCTTGTGTGGGCGTGGCCTCCTTTCTGGATGCCCACTGACTGCTTTGCAGCACTGAGGCTCGGTTCCACCTCACCGACCCAGAGCTCTTCTCTGCTCAGGAAGATTGGAAGTATTCACTCCCTTCCGGAGCTATCCGCCAGCCCTTACGTGTGCTTCCTCTGCCCAGGGAGATAGCGTGGGACCCCTGGGGGTCTCTCCCCTGGGGCAGAGCTCCCAGGGAGCCAGAAGTGGTAAGCTGCTCCTGCAGATAGAGACCCACAGGGGAGCGTGTGCGCCTGGGATAAGGGGAGGGCTGGGGCTGAGGACTGGCATCCGCCTGTGGGCCTGCTTCCCTCCTGCTCCGTCTGAGGAAGTGTGGGGTCTGATTAAAGGTCTTGTTCCCTCTCAGCGTCTCTTTGTGAGAACATGGGGAGGGAGTCTGGTTTACGTAGGAGGCCTGTTGACTCTTTTCCTTGTCCCCCGAATTTCCCGTTTGGGACTCCGGTTTTCCCCACTCTGCATCCGGGTCTCTCAACCTCTCTCTTCCTTACCCCCAACACACTCTTTTCCTCACAGTTTCTCCTGACAGATGCCCAAGCTCTTCTCAAGTCCCTGGGCTTCCCTGTCCCTCTTGCCCTTGACAGAGACTTCAGACCCCATAATAAGTCTTACTATGGGTCACTCAACTACGGGCTGCTTCAAGACAGGAGACCACGCCTTTTTGTAGGTGACACCACAGAATGCTGTTACTCCCTTCCTTATGTTCCTGGCCCCTCCAGCTTGGTGGCTGTTGGAAGCCAAGAGGAAGTAGAGTCATGCCCTCAGCCCCACCCCCTCGCCAAGGTTTTCAGGGAGTCCTTCAGGTGCCAGATGCCAGAGACACAGGATAGCAGGCCAGGCTTTCCAAAGCAGATGTCACCAAGATCACCTGGTCTTGTGGATGGGTGGGCTGTAGAGTTTACAAAGCAAAAAGCCGCGTTAAAGCTACCGCACCTCCTCAGGTACCAGGACCCCCGTCTGCAATCCAACCCTAGCTCCGGGCAACAATTTCCCACGCTCAGGCCCTCTGGGATGTAAACCTCCACCCCACCCCACCCCTGCCCAGTTGTTTCTTACCTAAGGCGGGCCAAATGGATGTTCTCATAGACCTGGACCTCAGGTTTGAAGTGAGGAATTGAGGGTTCTGGGGAAAAGAAGTCGTATGATATATATAGTCACCAGATAATTCAGGGATGTGTCCCTTGCCACTCTGGCAGACAGAGGCCAGAGTCTAGATGTGAGGCCAACCTCTCTCACACCCGATGCCATCTCAGGGGAAAGACTCACCTCTGTCCCGAGACCGCTGGGCCCTCCGCCTCCAGAGCACGATGCTGAGGGCGATGATGGTGACCCCTTGGCCTGCTGTGAGCAACAGCATCAGTAACCAGGGCACATCCCAGCTCGGGACCGAGACACAGGCAGTGGGAGTAGGTTCTGCGGAAGCTGCCACGACAGCAAGACAAGAATGATGGGCACTGAGGAGGTCTCAGGGAGGAAGCAGAATCATTCTGTGATGTCACTTACACAAAGGTCTGGTCTCCTGCCTTGAGCTGTCAGGAGAGGCAGCCCTGAGTAAGACGTGGCTTCCCGGCAGTCTAGTGGGATTTTCCTGCAGAAAATACTCAGGAGCCCCCGGCCTGCAGCATCCACCACCATGAGACTTTGCTTATGGACGCCAGGAGCCAATATCAGGGAGTAGCAGTGAGGGGTCGCTCCCCATCACACAGAGGCAGCAGTGAGGGGTCGCTCCCCATCACACAGAGGCAGCAGTTGAGGGATCGCTCCCCCTCACACAGAGACAGCAGTGAGGGATTGCTCCCCCTCACACAGAGGCAGCTGATTCCAGGCCCAGCCCAGCCATAACCTCCCTCACAATGATTCACATTTTCAAGGAAAAGTTAAGTATTGCAGCTGGGCACCACGATGCAAGCCTGCAAACCGGCACCTGGGAGGTGGAGGTGAGAGGTAAGGAACTGAGTTTATCGTCGACTCAGAGCTGGAGGCCTGTCTGGGCTGTGTGAAAGCCTATCTCAAAGCCGAAGAAACAGGGAGAAGTTCAAGGCCAACCTGGTCTACAGAGTGAATTTCAGGCCAACCAGGTCAACAAGGAGAGATACTACCATAAAAATCAAAAAGACAGGGGCTGCTGAGACGGCTCAGTGGTTAACATGGTTGCCTCACAGGTGTATGGACTGGAGTTCGAATCCCCAGAACCCGTGTGAATACTGGTTGGGCATGGTAGCCCATCTGTAATTCCGGCTTCTGAAGGCAGAGACGGGGTCCCCGGAGCAAGCGGGTTGGTGAGACTGCCCTCATCATCCAGCTCTGGCTTCGACTGAGAGACACTGCTTCATTGAATAAGATGTAAGAGCAATGGGTTCCAGACGTCAACCTCAGGCCTCCACAGGCCCGCACACTCATGTACATGGGCGCACCCATGTATGTGTTCCCACACATGTATGTGTTCCCACACGTATGTAGATATGCATACGCACATGCATGTCTCACACACGAAAATGGGAAAAGAAAGAATACACGTGCTTTACGGTTCCATTTCTTCATTCCCGTGTTCATCCTTTCGCGTGTTCATCCTCGACGCCTGGCCAAGACCTTTTTCTCTCGAGACATCGGCCATTTGCTCCTCTCTCTGACTTACAAGTGGGTTATTCTCCATCTAGGAGCATTCATTCTCTACATGGCCAGCTATGCTCCTTCTGCTGCCGCCTTCCCTGACAACAGGCCATTATACTACCCTACCTGGGACCCCTCTTCAGAAGCCAGCAGCCCTAGCAATCCCTACGCACTTCCTCTCTGCCATGCAAAAGTCCTCGGAAATAAAAGATTAGTCTGTTTCTTCTGTTTGTGTTTGAGACAGGGTCTTGCGCAGTCTAGACTGTCCTGGAACTCCTGCCTCAGTATCCCCAGGACTGCAGGGGTGTACCACCATGCTTGGCTGATATACTGGCCCATGTCTTGTCTTTCTTTTTCTGGCAAGGTGGAGGGGGTGGCGCAGGTTTCCTCTATATAGCCCTGGTTGGCCTGAAATTTGCTATAGCCCAGGTTGGCCTTGAACTCACAGACACTTACTGCCTCTGTCTCCTGAGAGCTGGGATTAAAGGCACAGGCTTATTTCTTTTTTTGTGATACCTTCTTTTTGAGGGGAGGGGTTCAAGATAGGATTTCTCTGTATAACAGCCCTGGCTATCCTGGAACTCGCTCTGTAGACCAGGCTGGCCTCAAACTCACAGAGATCCATCTGCCTCTGTGTCCTGAGTGCTGGGATTAAAGGCGTGCACCGCCACCACCCCGCTGATGTTTTTTTTTCTTTTTTAAGAAGTGGGGTTACATGCAGTGCAGACTGGCTTTGAACTCACTATAGAGACAAGGCTGTCCTCAAACTTCTTCTCCTCCTTCTACCCCCCAAGTGCTAGGAGGCATGTGACACCATGCCCTGCTTAGATTAGCCTATTTCTTTCTTGTGTGTGCATGCACATGTGTACATATTTGTATGTATGGGCATGCACATGTGTGTGTATCTGTGCATGCCTCTATGTGTGTGTGTGCATGTCTCTCTGTGTGTGCATGCCTCTATGTATGTGTGTGCATGTCTGTGTGTGTGTGCGTGTGTGTGTATTTGTGCATGCCTCTGTGTGTGTGTGCATGGCTCTGTGGCATGCGCGTATGTGGAGGCTAAAGGTCAACCTCAGGTGTTGTTCCTTAGATGTCCGCCTTATTTTGTGAGACCAGGTCTCCCACTGGCCTGGAGCTCACATAGCAGGCCAGGCTAGCTGACCTGAGAGCCCAGGGGTCTGTCTATCTGTCTCTGTCTCCCTAGTGTTGGGACTACAAGCAT